AGGCAGTAGGGATGAAGCTCTGAGGTCAGTGCCAGCTTGAGATCTTCATGTTCTGCAACTTGGGTATGTAGTGTCTTTAGTGACAGGCTTCTGTCTCAAGTAACTGGAGGGTAACCAAGAACAATGGCAATAGCATGCAATCTTGTGGCGGGGGATGGGGAGGTTAGGTCTATGAGACACACCCCCTGCCCCCCACCAACAACTCCAAAAAGGTTACCTTTCCTGGCACTGGGCTTTTAATTGTGGTATCTAGTAAGGGCATTGCCCTCCCCTATACATATATGTATATATAGGGTAACTTCATTTAAACTATTTTTACATATGTATGTGTATTTATTTTAGGAAGCTTCTACAGTAGTAGGTTTACATATGACATTTTCAAAAAACCTTTAGTGTTAGTCATCCCTCCCCATACTCCCACCCCTGCCCTGCCCTTTCATTCCCCATCCTCCACTGCATTTAACCCTTCCTGTTCTATTACTCCTCTTTTGCCCTTTATATCAGTGCATTCTTTCTCCCCTCCCTTGAAAGCTCCCCACTACCTTTACTGATTTCCTGACTGTCATAGTTAGCTTCTCAACTTGACATACCTGGGAAGAAGAAACCTCAACTGAGGAATTTTTTCCTATCAGATTGGCCTGTGGGCATGTCTGTGAGGTGTTTTCTTGATTGTTGAGTGATGTGGGAAGGGCTAGCCCACTGTGGGTAGTACTGGGTTGTATAAGAAAGTAGGCTGGGGGCTGGACATGGTGGCACACGTGTTTAATCCCAGCACTTGGAATACAGAAGCAGATGGATCTCTGTGACTTCAAGACCAGCCTGGTTTACATAGTGAGTTCCAGGCCATATGGGGCTACAGAGAGATCCTGTCTCAAAATGAAAAAAAAAATAAAAATAAAAAAAGAAAGAAAGAAAGAAGAAAGAGAAAGGAAGGAAGGAAGAAAGAAAGAGAAGAAAGAAAGAAAGAAAGAAAGAAAGAAAGAAAGAAAGAGAAAGAAGAAAGTAAGAGAAAGGAAGGAAGGAAGGAAGAAAGAGAAGAAAGAAAGAAAGAAAGAAAGAAAGAAAGAAAGAAAGAAAAAGAAAGAAAAAGAAAGAAAGCAGATTGAGCACAAGCCAGAAGAGCAAGCCAGTAGGCAGTGTTTTTCCACGGCCTGTGCTTCAGCTCCTAATCCATGTTCCTGCCCTGAGTTCCTGCCCTGGCTTCCCTCAATGATGAATTGTAATTGAGATGTATAAGCCAAAAAAAAAGAAGCCCTTTTCTTCCCCAGGTTGGTTTTGGCCAGAGTTTTTGTCAAAACAATAGAAAGCAAACTAGGATACTACCCTCAGTGGGCATGCTAAATGAAATATGCATATCTGAAAATTCGAACCTAGCATTGACATATAAGAGAAAACATTCAACATATGTCTTTCTGGGTCTGGGTTACCTTACTTAGGATGACTGTTTCCAGCACCATTCATTTACCTGCAAATTTAATAATTTCATTTTTCTTTACAGATAAATAATATTTCATTGTGTATCTGTATCACATTTTCATTATCCATTCATCAGTTGGTAAAAATCTAGGTTGTTTTAATTTCCTGGCTATTCTGAATTGAGCAGTAGTGAACATGGATGAGCACATAGCTCTATAGTAGGATATAGAGTCCTTTGGGTATATGCCCAAGAGTGATAGGGTTGGATCACATGGGAGATCTATATCTATCCTTTACAATGTACCATTCATCTATATTACATTATCAAGAAATACTTTAACCCTCAGTTTAAATCGTTGGATAATTTTTTATGAATAGATAATAATTTAGCAGGTTCTTTATATTACAAATTTGTGTCACTTTCCTTTTTTGCTTCTATAAATAATGTTTTGATGAATTTTTAATATAAGGTTTAATCTAGATGTCAGCAGTCGTGGGATTATTAAATAAATGAAATGAAGCTGTAGACAAAGATTGTTTTAATAAAACGTTGTCCCAAATTACATTCTCATGGGTACTTACCAGTGTTCCTCTGTAGTTTCTCTTTAGGATTATTTTGTTTTGCTTTTGAAGTTTATCATGTTAAGATTTGTTCACCATTTACTTCTTTGCTTTGGTGAGCTTTGTTTTTGCCAAATTTCCTAAATTGGTGTATCGATTATATGATTTATGGTAGTCCCTTATTTTTCAGTGTTTTTTCCAAATTGAGTGATTTGTCTTCTAAATCACCTTGTATTTTGGAAGTAACAGAGGCAATTTTCATGGTTTTGTAATCCATTTTCTTCTTTATTTTTAGGGTTTCAGAGTCCTCCTCTTGTATTCTGGTTTTGTGGGTTTTCCTTAGGTTTTTGGGTGACTTCTCAGTCGTCTCTCTAGCCTGTCAGTTTTCTTTTCCATCCATTGGCAGTACACTAAGCTAAAGTTACTTCTACTTTTGCTGCAGATTATCTTTAATTTTTCTGACAACATGTGTTTACCTGGTTAAATGTTATGTTCTTATTTTAATTAAAAATTAGAGCCATAGGTCCTGGGTCCCTGGGGGTATACCACAGTCTTCCTTGGGAAACCATGTCAGTGTTGTCTTCTTTCTTTTTAAAAATTTATTTTAGTTTTATTTTATGAGTGTCAGTGTTTTCCCTGCATGTATGTAAATATACCACATGCATGCAATACCTGCAGAGGCCAGAACTGGGCATCATATCCCTGGAACTGGAGTTACAGGTGGTTGTTAGCTATGATGTGGGTGCTTAGAACTGAACTGGTCCTCTGGAAGAGCAGCCAGTGCTCTTAACTGCTGAGCCATCTCTCCAGCCCTGTTGTCTTAGTTCTTAACAATGTTTATTCATAGATGAAAAAGAAATCAGTGACACATCCACACCTAAGAGGAGTTCTCAAGATTCTCAAGAAGAGCAGTTGAGTTCAGACCAAGGTAAATTAATATCTGGCAATTTAGTTCTTTTTAAATTGTGATCTTAAAAAAAAAACCAGTATCTCCTTGAAATATGTAATTTTAAGAATAAAATCACTATTAATACCCAACATCCTTTCTTTGTGTGCGGGGTGGTGGTGGTGGTTTGGGAATCAAACCCAGGGTCTTGTGTATTCTCGGCAAGGGCTCTACTGCTAAGCTACTTCCCCACCCCAAACTTATCCTGTCTTGAAAGGGTATTATAGTATGAACAATTATACCTACATGTGCTAGGTAGCTTTAGTGTCAACTTGACACACCTGGGTTGAGGCCCGTGGCCATGTCCATTGGGCACCTTCTTGATTGTTGAGTGATGTGCCCAGTCCGCTGTGGGTGGTGCCAACCCTGGGTAGGTGGACCTGTGTTGCATAAGAAAGCAGGCTGAGCAGGGGTCAGGGGAGCAAGCCAGTAAGCAGCACTATTCTATGGCCTGTGCTCCAGCTCCTGCCTCCAGGTTCCTGCCCTAAGTTCCTACCTTGGGCTCCCTGATGAACTGTGACCTGGATATGTAAGCTGAATAAACCCTTTCCTTCCCAAGTTGGTATTGGTCAGAGTGTTTTGTCACAGCAATGGAGAAACAAACTAGGACAATACAGGAACACAGGAAAATAACATGATACATGGTTTTGGTGAGAAAAGCAATGTCTCCTTCTGCTGTGCCATCCTTGGCATGTGGCTGCCATACTAATCCACAGAATGTCTTCTGATCTCTAGCTGTCATATCTGCCTACATAGCAAGAAGAGCATAAAAAGCAAGAAACAAAATCTGGCTCTCTCCTAGCTGAGTTAACACTCTTAAAGGGTTAGCAAGAGGGACCAGAGAGATTGCTCAGTGTTAAAGCACTTGCTATGCAAGCATGATAACCAGAGTTCAGATCCTTAGAATCCCCATAAATGTCAGGTAAGCATGGCAGCCCCACCTATAATTTCTAGCCTCAGAAGGCAGAGACAAGGGATTTCTAGAACAAGATGACTAAAGAGCCTAGCCATTTTAGGCAAGCTCTAGGTTTGATTGAGAGACCCTGCCTCAATGAATAAGGAAGAACAGTTGGAGATGCTTCCCAACATCAATCTCTGATCTCATCATAAATATGCACTGGCACCCACGTGTTCCCACATACATGCAAACACACATGTACAACCCATACACACACACCCCCCCCACACACACAGAAATGGCAAAAGAACAATAATAAAGAGTTGGCAGGAAACTTGCAAAATAAATAACATATCCCCTTCCCCCAAAATCTGCTTGCTTTATCCCAAGCTATAGGGAAAAATGGGAGATACATTCTTCCACCTGGGCATATGAGTGGCCTCAACAAAAGCAGGTTGTTATAAGCCAGAGGAAAATGGATATAAGTTTGTAAGAGTGAAACCACTGAGGACAAGTCAGCCTTCAGGTTGCAACAGCAAGAGGTTTATTTAGTACACAGGTACCTGTGGGCACAAAGTCTCCTCAGAGAACTTGCGCGCCTCAGGCCGGGTTTTTGGAACTTTTATAGAGCAGAAGCAGGATACAGAAGCAGAAGCGCGGTTATTGGCTAATTCAAACTATTACAAAATACTATGGGGAAAGCGGGTACAAGGTATGAGAAAGTAGGGTGGCTAAATGGGTGGTGACCTCTGGACACAGACGTGGATGACCAGATGTTTCAACCATAAAACTTGTTTATCAGTAAGCCAGATGTCTCAACCATAAAACTTGTTTATCAGTAAGCCAGATGTCTCAACCATAAAACTTGTTTATCAGTAAGCCAGATGTCTCAACCATAAAACTTGTTTATCAGTAAGCCAGATGTCTCAACCATAAAACTTGTTTATCAGTAAGCCAGATGTCTCAACCATAAAACTTGTTTATCAGTAAGCCAGATGTCTCAACCATAAAACTTGTTTATCAGTAAGCCAGATGTCTCAACCATAAAACTTGTTTATCAGTAAGCCAGATGTCTCAACCATAAAACTTGTTTATCAGTAAGCCAGATGTCTCAACCATAAAACTTGTTTATCAGTAAGTTAGAATTCTTGACCGGTACGCGACCTGCCTGAGGGACTTCATGGCGCCTGACTTTTGTTTTTCATTCCTCCCTTTTTTTTCTTGTAACTATGGAGGGGAATCTTTCCCTCCTTTAGAGATTATCAGGGTCATTGGTTTCTAGGGCTTGGTACTGGCTGGTCAGCACTAAGGTCTGGACAACTGATAACCTTTCTCGTATGAATTGAGTCAACCGGTTGAAAATGCAGGGGCCTAGGGTCAAGATTAGGAGTAGGGAACCCAGGGGCCCAATAAGAGGTAGAAGATAAGGCAGAATTCCGTTCCACATGCCCCACATGGGGTTAGCAAAAAGCTCCTGTCACCTTTTTTCTAGTTCTTCTTGGTGTTTTTTAATCCGATCTCTGACAATCCCGGACTTGTTGGTATAAAAACAGCATTTTTCCTGTAATGCTAAACAGATACCTCCCTTGTCTGCTGTTAATAGATCAAGTCCCCGTCTATTTTGTAAAACAACTTCGGCTAGTGAATCTACCTGGTCCTGAAGATCTTGTACAGACCGATAGACCATATTTACATCATCAATTAACTGTTGAGATAATTTGTTGTAAGTGTCTATTGCCACTCCTACACCAGCTGAGCCCGTAGCGAGGGCTCCTGAGATACCCAGTCCAATAAGCAACGGAATGAACTGGACCGCTCGTTTGTGCCTAGGAACGAATGTGTCAAAGCTAGGCAAAGGCACAGGCTCATCTCCTGGAATTATGTCTATGTCTGG